AATATTAAAATATTTTAATTTTTAAGTATTATTATTAATATATAAAATAATAATAATAATAAATATTAATTTTTTTATTTATCTAATAAAAAAATGTTCACACGATGTCTAGATGCTAAAAAGTAATACCTAACTCTTTTATTTTTGGTTAAAACTCTTGTTTGGTCCTCAAACTATTGTACGGATCCTTGATTTGGTCCCTGAACTAAAAAAATATTTGATTTGATCCCTACTGTTTACCATTTTTACCCCGATTTGGTCCTTCCATTAAAAATTGTGTGACGTGGCCTGTTACTTCACGGTTACCAAATGACATGTCATATAGTAATCCACGTGGAAGATAATTTAGCCAAAAAGTGATGGTGTGGAAAAAATAATAATATAAAAAAATATTATAAAAAATAAAACTTAAATTTTTTTTTTATCTTTTTTTCTTTTCTCTTTCTCCTTCCCCTTTCCCTTTCTCTTTCTCCTTCCCCTTTCCCTTCTCTTTCCCCGTCTGCTGGGTTCCTTCGAACCCACCCAGGCATTGGGTTCGCAAGGAACCGAACCCAACATGCTTGCCTAGGTTGGGTTCCTTGGAATCCAGTGCTTGGGTTCCATGGAACCCAACCCCGGGTTTGACGGGACCCAGGCGTTGGGTTCCAAGGAACCCAGGCGCTGGGTTCCCTTGAACCCATGCCTGGGTTCTTCGAACCAACTCGGTTCCATGGAACCCAAGCGCTGGGTTCCCTTGAACCTATGCCTGGGTTCTTCGAACCAGCTAGGTTCCATGGAACCCAACCTTGGGTTCTGTTGAACCCAGGTGTGGGTTCAATGGAACCCAGGCGTGGGTTCGAAAAACCCAGCAAGCCTAGGTTCCTAGAACACGGGGTAAAAAATATCTATGGGTTTGGTGTTTGATGATGATATGTTTGATGATGATGAAGAAAGCAAGGTTTGGAACCCAACGGCGAACCAGCTGGGTTCCATGGAACCCAACCCTAGGTTCCGTCGAACCCAGGCGTGGGTTCAACGGAACCCAGGGGGTAAAAAATATATATATATATATATTTTTTTTCTGTGGGTTTGGTGTTTGATGATGATGTGTTTGATGATGATGAAGAAAGTAAGGCAAGGAAGAGGAAGGAAAAAAAAAGGGTGTTGTTGGATTCGATTCAACCTAGGTGATGGGTTTGTTTGCTGGAGGAAGAAGATGATGGAAAATTCGTAATTTTGGTGGGTCTCACTTTTGTTGGGTTGGGCAAGAACATGACATGTCATGTTGCCATGTCATTATTTATTCATTTATACAACTGACGTGTATCAAATGTTTGACATGTCATTAAATTGTCGTAAGATAATGGTGATATTTTAACGGAAGGACCAAATCGGGGTAAAAATGGTAAACAGTAGAGACCAAATCAGGGATTTTTTTAGTTCAGGGACCAAATCAGGGGTCCGTACAATAGTTCAGGGACCAAAAAGGGGTTTTAACCTTTATTTTTTTACTTAAAATTAATACATAAAATATGTATTTAAGATCCCTTATTTTGCGTCTAAAAATATAGATTAAATAAATTCCCCATTAAATTTACTGAAAAGTTGAACGTACCAGCTGTGATACACTCAAATTCAAATTAAACCATTGGTGTAGCGTTGGATCCGTTGGGTCTTGAGAATCTCAATCACGTTATACGCGTGAAGTAAGTAATGGGCCCCACAGCCCACCTGCAACATCGATAAAGTTATACTAATATTTAAATTTTGGAGGGTAAGTGTGAAATGGCCGTCATCCACGATCATCCTAAAGCTTAAAATAATTTGGGAGATATCATTACTCATGTTTTATGTAGTTCATTACAATCAACCAGAAATCCTCTCATTTTGCTGCTATTTGCTTGTCTAGTTTACCCTTTCTCCCTCCCTCTTCAGAGTTGGTTCAGAGGAAGTCATGGGGAGCATCGATCATTTCAGCCATCCACATCCTTTGGTGCTTGTGGATCAAGAGCCGGGTGATCATGGAAGTCGAAAAGGTTTTTGTTCTGGATGCAACGAAGCAGTAGAGGGTTATTGTTATGAGTGCGGGAAAGCAGCAGAGGGTTACTGTTCTGGATGCGACGAAGAATTAGAGCGTTCCAGCTACGGTTGTGGTGAGTGTGGGTTTTTCCTTCATAAGAAATGTGCTGAGCTACAAACGGTGATCATTAATCACCCCCTCCACCCCCAACACCCTCTCACTCTTCTTTTGAGACCTTATTCTATTAATTTCTGCGATGTTTGCTTGAAATTAAGTATTAGATTTTTTTATCGATGCAAGCTTTGTGATTTTGACCTTGACCTTAGATGTGCCATGCATCCTCAATTTGTTGCTCAAGAGTTTCAAAAGCTTCAACATTTTAGCCACGATCATCCTTTGATACTTGTTGAAGATATTGAAATTCAAACCACAAGAGAGGTCTGCTCAGGATGTAGGGAACCCATGTCCAAGTCAAGTCCATTCTACTGTTGTCCAAATTGCATATTTCACCTTCACAAGAAATGTGCAGAGTTGCCTCTTAAGGTCAGTCACCCTGCCCACCGGAAACACCCTCTAATGCTTTTGGCCAAACCCCCACCTCATCAAGAGAAATGTTCTTGCAATTTGTGCGGTGAGTCTTATAAGGAAGGATTTGTTTATTATTGTTCAATTTGTGAGTTTGGCTTCAAAGCCGCGGATCCTATTTCGCAAACAATTATAGCTGAAACTCATGAACATCCGTTGACCCTCTGTTCGGGCACAATTTCATTCGTTTGTGAGGCATGTGGAAATGATGGAAGTCGTGTTTGCTTTACATGTGCTAAATGCAGCCTTATTATTCATATAGATTGCACTTCACTTCGCCGCACCATCAAAATAATAAGGCATCCACATCGACTTTCTCACATCTATTTCTCTCAAGATGAGGAAGCTAGAAAACGTGAATGCAATATCTGTCATGATGACATAAATCTGGGATATGGGAGCTACTTCTGTGCAGATTGCAACTATTTTGCTCATGTAAATTGTGCAATAGATAAACGTCTTTTGGAAGATGAAAAGTCCGAACCATCAGATGACTGGACTGCTATCTTTCCTGCTTTTCAGGAAATCAAACCTGGAGAGATAAAGCATTTCAGCCATAAACACAACTTAATATTGAGTGATGATGGGGTTGAGGATGGCCAAAGTTGTGAAGGTTGCATGCGTTCCATCTCTACTTCATTTTACTATTGTGCACAATGTAATTTCTTTCTCTGCAACTGCTGTGTTCATAAGTTACCCAAGGAGGTGCGTCACTGGACTTGCAAGCATTTAAGAGAACTCTATTTCTATTCCATTTTTTGTTGTGACTATTGCTGGTTTTGGAGTAGTGGGTTTGGCTACAATTGTAATGCATGCAGAAAGATTATGTGCATCCAGTGTCATGAAATTCTCGACACTCGTATTGTAAATATAGAAGGACAGGAGCACTTCCTTTTCTTTGACCACAAATACAAAGGGAAATGTAATGGTTGTGATGATTATTGTTATCGATGCAGTTTTAGATGCAAGGACAAGAAATGCAATTTTACGTTGGATTATAGATGCCTTGTGCTGCCAGAAACAGCTCGGTATAAATATGACTATCATGCTCTCAGTCTTACTTATCGTGATGATCATGATCTAAGTCAATGTTATTGTGACATATGTGAAGAAACCAGAGATCCGAAGCAGTGGTTTTATCATTGTGCTGATTGTGATGTTTCTGCTCATCCTAATTGTGTGCTTTGGAAATCCCCATTTGTCAAGCTCGGGAAACCATTCCGGATTGATGATCACGAACACCCTGTCACTTTGGTGAAGATAGATTTTTACCCTCCTAAATGCAACTACTGTGGTAAGCCTTGTAGAGATGATCTATCCATTCAATGCACAGAGCCAGATTGCACCTACATATTCCATTGGCGCTGCTACCGGGAGCGTAAAGGATCTTGGGTTTGGCCTCTTCGACATAGAGACTAAAGAGCTAACATTGGTATTCTTCTTATGATATTAATTATGTCTCTTATGAAGGTAGACGAAAATGAGATATATCTCATTTGCACTTTATTTTGTTTTCGACTGATTTTTTAAGTTTAGTTTGATCTTCTAGCTGTTTGTTGATGTGGTCGGACTGTAACTTTGTTTCTACCAAATATGTGATATGACTATTGTTTGAATTTTGAATGTATTGCTTTAAATAGTTGTTTTTTTTTATCAATAATTCGGTTGTCTCTGTACTTCAAATACAGAAAAATATTTCTTTCTTCTTTTCTTTATAGATTTTGATGTTTATTTGTTTCTACGTTTCCTATTTATGCTTTCTTTCATGGTTCATATATTCTCTACTTATACTTTTACACAGAGAGGATATATTTTAATAACGTGATATTTTATCTTATATCAGAAACTTATTACAAGCAATTTTTATTTTGCAAAATCATATCAATTTTGACCAAATTAACAATAAAGGCATTCCTTGCGGAGACTTCTGAAGGTAGGAAAACCTTATAATTTTTTTTTCCTCCTTTTGGGAAAGCCTTATAATTAGTTCCTGTTCTTCTTTACACTATCTCTAAAGGATTGAATTCAAAACCTCTCTTGACTCCAACCAGTTCTTTGATCACTACACAAATACTTTATTGGCTTTCACAACTCTCTATCTATCTTGATTAAGTAACAGAAATTAGAATAACTGCTCATAAAATTCATGGTTCATGAACATGAAAGAAAGAACAAATTTCAGGGTTATAAACTCATCATTACATGTCAATATGCCATTCTTCCCTCAAGCTATCTCAGAATATCAGAACTAACACCGGGAATTGAAGCAATACCAGTTATATCCATCAGTTAACAGATAGTTGGAAGATCAAGTGAGCTCCACAGATAAAGTGAAATCCATCAATTTCCTGAGCTCTTCCAAACATTTTTTTTTTCCTTTCCCCTTAAATCCCATTTCATGCTACAGATTTGAAGCAGAGACTTCTAGATTTTCTTTCATTTCCTCCTTTTGATTTTCTTCCATCTTTCTGTGTTAGGATCATTATATGCTATGTAAATCAAAATTGAAACATCCAATTTTCTCCAATGAAAAATAATAGCCATAAAATCCGTACAGAATTGCAAGGGGCAAGATTTGATTCCTACAATATCTGCACAATGGGAAAGGAAGCTTACAATGAGTCACTATCAACTCTATAAAAGATCAAAAATAGTGGGTGCATAGCCCTCTCAAAGAACCAGGCAATCAGTTTCCTCTTGGCATTGCTTATCAAAGTCAAAGAAATCAGTTTCCACAAAGCATCATCACCAACAAAACATTGTCCACTTGATTATAATTATATGATTTATGCATCAATAATTTTTTCTCAAGTAATTTTCAGCAATTTAAGATGATGAAAGATCCTTGCATTAGATTATTCTATAATATTTGTCTTCTGGTCCTAATAGCTTGATGGGTCTTTCATTAGCAATTAGCAGAGATAATGACATCTTGTACTGACCCTAATTATAAAAGGTAGATTTCTATACACCAAGCAGTTAAAAAATGAATAGTTAAAGCTTATGTAACCATGAAAAAGATTATAATATGTAAGTAGGGAAAAATAAGAAAAAAAAATGATAAAAATAATGAAGATGATCTTTGGACTGAGTAGAGACAAGCATAGCCTGCATTGGCCAAGTTAATTATAGGACTGAGTAGACTTTGAATAATCTTCAATTTTACATCTTAAGCTTTTAAGATATATTCTATTATTACATTGTTCTATTATTAGATTTTAAATAACTCTAACGAATAAATAACGTAGGGAATTGAAATTGCATCTAAGTTTTAGATTAGTATCATTTAACAAAATAGTTTAAGTAAATAACTAAATATTGAAAACTAATACAGAGTTGATTTGCTAATAGAAAAAGGAAGATACCACTAATAATAGAGATATTGAATTTGAAGTTGTCTAATGGACACAAATTTTCCCTATTCTGTTTGTTATGATGGCTTTTAATGCCATTGGAATTAACCAAACAGAGACATTTTTAGTTTGGCCAAAAAAGAAAAAAAAAAGAGAGAGAGAGAGAGAGAGAACATTTTTATAATTTGTTACCCCTGCGCTAGAACAATTGGTAAATTATGTATAACAGCATATATCATGATAGAAAATTTCAAGATTATAAGCTAGGCATGATTTACACATATAATCCAGATGAAGCTTTCACATGTCAAAAGCAAGATCAATCGGTTTTTCAATTCATGTGTTGATTTTTTAAAAATTAAAATAATTATCCTATCATGGACTTCATCAGAGTTCTTTTATTGAATAATGATCAGCAATAATTTTGAATAATTCTATAAATAAGCTAATACCTTAATATTCAAAAAAATATGTCAATGAAATGTTGTTATTGAAGTTACAACTGAGTTGCATATAGTTTTTGGCCTAAAAAAAAAGGGAAGTTACAACTGGAGTTCAAATTGAAAATGGATCAAATTTAAAATTTCAAGGTACAAATGAAAAGGAAAACCGAAACCGAAATGAATGGTGGTAAAACAAAGTTGGCTCAGATAATTAAATTTGAGATTTGGTTGAAGAAAAAGCATAGAGATTTTCTAATGGGACAAATTTTTGCTTTTCTCTTTGGTATGTTGGTTTATTATATCATTGAAATTAACTGAAAACAGATACATATTCTATAATCTAATATCTTATCACTAAAATAGAATTACAATCTAAATAAAAGGCTAAATAAACCTTGACATGATGTATGGACGGTTTGTTTAGTAAATTAAGGATGATTATTTTAAGTCTTCAATTTTTGAGTTCAAATCTCTTAATCCAATATGCCCAAGTGAATAGTTTCTTATGTTACTAAACCTGGTTGACACCTCTAGTTTTGCTCAAGCTGCCAATGCTATAGAAATAGTATCTTGCAGCATATCAACTAAATATGTTAATATAAAGTATACCTAAATTTAAATGAATGTTAATCAAGATAGAATTTAGTGTACAAATTAGTCATAGCTTTCAAATGCAATGTCTTAATCCTTGGAATAAATTAACAGATTACGAGATGCAAAAGAGCCGTTCCCTGTTTCGTAACCTAAAGTATTATGCATCAAAGAATTAAATGGTAACGAGTGCATGAGATTAACTAACTTTGACATAGCTGATCCAAGTAATTAACCATGGATTTGGTGGGGGATTACACCATTGAGATTGAAAAAGAGAACATTCAAGTTGTCCAACGGGGCAAATGTTCCCTTTTTATGCATTTGATGTGTTGGTTTTCTTACATCATTGAAGTTAACCACACCCAAAGGCATTTTTTAATAATTTATGCACATAAAATAGGAATAAAACAAAGATGCACTCTCAGCAATAGGTAAATAAATATGTAAATAAAGATGTATGATTATTGTACGCAAAATAATGCTGATATTGTGGTAGCATAAAATTTAGGATGACCTCTTGGTGACTACTGACTAGAGCTGCAATCTAGCTTGTGCTGCCACATATCTTGTCCAGATGCTTCCTCATGACTAACATGACAAACGCAAAAAGAAGAAATTTGTCTGCATTAGCCTAATTAATTAAGTGGTTCATCATGATTTGACTCTATCTATCAGAATTCTGCGTAATGGAAACCTAGGTATATGCCATTCGTTCACTACTACTTCAATTTGGTTATAAACTAGCACTAAAGTCAATGCCATAGACAAAATAGATAAACAGAATGAGATTGCTGCATTTGGCATGTATAACAGGATGAAAATTGATAGGCAATGAACAACTCACATTTTTCAGAGGATACGTTTGCTGATTCCTTGGTCCTATAGCAGACAGAGAGACCAAGATCCTGAAGGGTTACAAATTCAAAATTCTCTTATCTTCATACGGTGTAAAAATATTCTAACATATAATAGCAAATATAAATAAACAAAATTTAACTTATATGAATTACTATGGGCTTTTAGAATATTGAAATTGATGTGGAGATCTGTGAGATTGTCAAAGATGCTTTGTGCTTATTGGAATATCAGAATCCAAAATTCTAGAGAATGAAAATCTTCTGCAGGAGATATGGAACCAAGCCATATTTAGAGATTTCTTAGAGGTTAAAATATATATATAAAGGGAATCAACATGGCATAATGTCTAGCTGTACAGGTATACAACACAAGCAAAACTATATTGTGGAGTAGCAACCCCATTCTTGGAAAGGCTTCATCTAGTGTATGAACAGAAAGGATTTCCTTTCGTTAGCATCACAGACCATCTACAGAATTAGAATACAGCTAGAACTAGATATAGCTACTTACTGATTTCCAAATTCCATTAGAAGAATACTTTACCAGCTAGTAAACCTAGAACGTTGGAACTAGATATCGCAACTTCACACTTCAGCAGCTAGTGCACCTTGAATATTGGATTGGTATCAAATGTGGATCATGATATGCAATGAGTAAAGTTTCAAGAAACTCAGAAATGGTAGGATCATTCTGGTCTTCTCTATCTTTCTTTACAAAACACTTCATAACACACAATATTTAGGTTTAGGTGATTCCTAGACAGGCATAGAAAGAATGGAAGCGAACCAAGACAACTGGAACAGAGAACATAATCACAGATGAAAATTTTAACAGATAGTATCTGAAACATGATAAGTCAGTAAGAAAGAACACATTCTCTATGCATGGTTTAACTCCAATTAAGGGCAGAGCTCATTAGGCATCCAATGTCCCATGTAGACGACCCACAATCCACAGTTATGTCTTGCTTTGCTCACACCAAAATCATAATGGTCTTCTTTATCTGACAATAGCTAGGAGCAGCTGCCAATTGAACTAACAAGCAAAAACTTAATTATAGTTCCTTAAAATTCCATACAAAATCCATGTTCACTTTCTTGCTGAAGCTCAGCTAAAAATTTTTTTTAAACCAGTTGAATAATTTCATATTACTACTACAAATATCATTAATAATCCAAAATATCATAGAAAATGAAGTGGTGCAGTTTTTATTAACCCATTATATTTCTTGATCTTTAGCGTGTAGTGAGAAAGATGATTCCAAAGGAAGTGAAACTTTTTTAGAAAACTGCCCATGGTCCAATCCATTTAAACCATCCAAGAAAGTTTTCTTGCCACTTTACAATTATTGATACTTGTACAGAAGCTATTCCAATATAATCAGATCTAAGGCTTCTCATTTGAAAACCAACGCTGTGCTCATTTTCCACGCAGACAAATGGAGAGAATCAACATGTTGTCAGGTTAGGAAAATCACATAGAAGTCTGAAAAGGAATGTGAAGATTTCTCCATTATAAGTTGGTATGAGGTCTGAACCATGAGGCCATCTGCAAAGACTGCAATAAAAACTGACTATAAAAGATTATAAAAGGAAAGAAATACTTCTATTTTATGAATGTAAAATTTAAGTAACAGATAAAAAAGAGCTATAAACCAACAAAGAAAATATGAACATCCAAATAATGTCAGTCCACCCAGCTGACCTGTATCACAGGGATGAAGCAGCAGCTATTATTACTCTGAGTGTGAATAATAGGAAACAGAGATCGAAATTGATACCAACCGAAGTTAAAAAGCCAAAAGAATCATCCTTTTTTATTCTCAGGAGCGCACTTCAAAGTTCTCACGCCTCAACAGCTCTACTAAAATGTCGAAATCCCAAAGCTTTCGGGACTCGGGAGAGAGAAGGAAACAAGAGGGAGGGGAAACAGCGGGTAGCCATGTAGAGAAGTA